GTGATATTTTCGACTTCTTTTTAAAAACTGTAAGTCCGATTGCTTTGTTACTATTCATATTGTTCATTTTCTAATGATGTCTTCAGTTCTTTAATTGAAATGTGCATTGCTAACAGCGGAGCTATCTCAGCCGATAGGCTGCTTGTTATTATTATACTAATTAGTATCAGTAAAAATAATTTTAACACATTACATTTTACTTTTATACTTAACATTATAATATTTTCTCTTATTTCATTATTATTATACTTTGTTATACTTTTATTGCTACTGTACTGATAGAAATACTGTATATCTAAAGGTGCAATAAATAAATATTATTATTATAATGTTGAGATACAAAATGGCCTTCTGGGGGAAACTTGGTTCACAGATAGTTGCCATAACCTTTCAAACTTTATAATGGCAGGGACTACTTCTATGTTACTTCAACTAAAAAAGTATGTTACAAACTTGAATGCATCTATTGTGGTCAATGAAATAAGTTGATAATACTCATTTATTTTTGTTTTTTAAATGCATATACTTAATTCATAAGTATAGTGTTCATTTCTTTTCTTTCTAGGTTTTTCTACTGAGATTGAAATCATGACAATGACATCCATGCTGCAATGTCAAGTCCAAGCCCTAACGTATTATGAATATGGATTTACTGCAATTACCATCCTATCATATACATTATGTAAATGACAGAAGTGTATATATAATTATATATAAAGCTCCTAATGAGTGATGTACTTGTACCTTACGAAACATTGCTGTCGAGTTTCAATATTCATGTAGTTGTCTTATTTCCTCTATTACCGTATCTATCCACTCTACATATACTTTGTATTGAGCACTTTTGTCTTGGAATAATCAACTCTCACATCTAGACTATAATTATATATATATTGTTATGTTATAATGAACCAGGATACCATACATGCAGTTTTCAGTTTTATGTTTTTTATTAGCTGGCAAAACTAAGTGTTCACTTTCTCTAATTGTTGTGTCTGCTCCATTGAAAATTCTGTTTGTCAAGAAGGTAGCCCCTTTATATAAATAGAGTAATGTGACAGATGTACAACTTCTGTATGTATACAACAAATATATAACTGCTACTGCATTAAAAATTATTTTCAGAAACCTATGAAAGTCGAGTAATGTGTAACAGTAATCACATCTAGTATCACATACTCTGATTAGACCTTATATTTCTGATTGCTAATCAATCCATCATTTACGGTTTGCTATAAGGTTGCTTGATAAATTCATGAATTCTTTTTTTTGCAAATATATTGTTTATTGCTATACAAGGTCATATGTGAGGTCACTACATTTTTGGGATAAATGTGATACTTGATGCGGATTAAAACAAAATGTTTGCATTTTTATAAAAAAAATTGATAATGAAACAATGTTTCTGGAACTACATTTTGAATAAAATAAAATAGGGGGGTACTTACCTAAAGAAATCGGAGTGTTAATTTGTCTTATGCTAATACAAAGGCAATACAACATGTTCTCACTCTCATGTGTGTTTACATCAAACGTTTGATAAACTGTATTGATGAACCTTAATGTGCGAGGTGGAGCTAAATTCACCAATAAATGTTTTCTTGGGTAATGAACACATCCTGTAAAGTGTGCTAGGGTATACAGCATTCATGCTTAAACATAAATAAAATATTAATCTTAATAATAATTTGTTGACACATTAAGGGGAACGTGATTCAGCATGTGTTGCCCCAAAACATGGGATTGCTATACTCGTAATTGGCATGTCCATGAGGCTTTCAGTACCGTAGTTGATTAGGGCTGTGAATGATATTTTCAAAGTCAGTCTGTCCCTCTCATCTCTCTCAGTTTTCCATAGTTGCATAGCCCTGCACTATGAATACTAAGTAACAAGAACTACTGGTTTAACATCGGTAGCCATTTTGAAATGTTCACTCTCGGGTAAATATGAGATTTTAACGTTTATGTTATTTATTTTATTTTTTCGGTGCTTACAAAATGTATGTAATTTCAGCTGATGGAAATACAGTATCACAAAAAATATATGTTGTCATTCTATGAATAAATGTGCTTGTCTGTTATAACCATGAAATTAATACCGGTGATTATCATGTATGAACACCAAGTGTGTCATTAATGACATCATAGTTATAAAGAGCATTTATTGCAATGTGGTAGTTTACAACAGCAAAAATTCTGCAACTCAAGTTGTTACCATATGTCCTACACACAATCACTCAGAATTGGAGAATGTATTTCTAGTTCATAAGTCCTCCAACACAAAATGAAATGTAATTTAATTAATGGAATGTAATTTTACGACATGGTACCAGTAATACTAGTCAAATGCACAAGGGCCAATAGTGTGCAAATTTGGGCACTTTTACAATCTGATTAAAATCTGATGTAGTGTACAGGCTTTAATTATTTTGGCTATAAACTTATTAGTCCCCGTTCAAACAAAGTCCGAAAAGGGGACTTATAATTCGGTCTTCGTCCGTCCGTCCGTCCGTCCGTCCGTCCGGAGTCATACATATGCATCTCAGAATCATTTGGACCGATTCTGTTCATTCTTTGCTAGTGCCTAGTACTTTATGTGGAACATATGTACATGCAGTGGTTTAGCGATTTGATTCAAAATGGCCGACTGGCAGCCATGTTGTATTTTGGACATGCTTTGTCAGTTTTCATTCAAATTTATTACATAGATCATACATGTTAGGATACATGTCCATGACGATTTATTTCACAATTGGATCAAAGATGGTCGACTGGCAGGCATCTTGTTTTTTGAAAATGTTGTATTTAGGACATGCTTTGTCAGTTTTCATTCAAATTTAGTACATAGATCATACATGCTAGGATACATGTCCCCGACTGTTCGTGAGTTCCTGGGTCTGTCCGCCCGTCCCTGCGCCAGTCTGTCCGGTGGTTTAGCGATTTGATTCAAAATGGCCGACTGGCAGCCATCTTGTTTTTTGAAAATGTTGTATTTTGGACATGCTTTGTCAGTTGTCATTCAGACTTGGTACATAGACTATACATGTTAGAATACATGTCCATGACGATTTATTTCGCAATTGGATCAAAGATGCTCGACTGGCAGTCATCTTTTTTTTTTTATGCGGTATCTTGGACGTGCTCTGTCAGTTTTCATTCAAATTTGGCACATACATGTACTTTATACATGTTAGGATGCATGTCCATGACAATTTGTTCCAAAAACTGGTCAAGGATGGCCGATTGACAGCTATCTGTCTTTTTGGCCTTACTACTATTTAGCCTTACTACTATATTTCCACAATTTATAAACATAAATAAACAATCTGTTGTATACGCCACGTGGAACTCAAGTTTCAAGGACACACTCGCAACAACCCCTCCGCTTTAATATGACGAGCACAAAGAGAACTTTCAAAAATGTAACGGGGACTGTGTCATTTTCAATGACTTGTTTTTAGTTTATTTTATTACTTTAGTTATTAATGCTTTTTTATTTTATTATTTTACTTTGATTTTGTGATTTGTTTTTAATTTTGCCCAACATACATTTGAACCTATGTAACGAGATTTTAACAAGACCCACTATTTAGTCAACGAATCACAGACCTCCTTCTATAGTGCACCTGATGATGTCACCGGCCAGATTCAGGTCGCAAACACACTCAAATAAAATGGCGGATTATACCGACGTTAGCGACGAAAACGATCGCGGTAAACAAACGGCTTTTCGGTAAGTTCATTGTCAAATGCAACGAAAGTCATCTTTTATTTTTATGTTTATATTGTGGCTTGAATGGTTCCAGTTTAGCATGTTATTTTGTAAATAAAATATATACTATTAATTTTTTATCAATGGTTTATTCAAGTGGGCAAAATATAATGTACAGAAAAATTGCCCCTAGAGTATCGCTCCACTGAAAAGTAAGCAACCGACAGCCTATATAAGGGGGGGGATGTGATTGCCTGTTTCGCAATTACCAAAACTTTAAAAAATAAATACTAGATCAAAATAAAAAAAGCCAAAACTAGGATCTTATTTTAATCAGATTGGGCACTTATATTGACTGTGTCCTCATGAGACGAGATGACATATATGAACCGGCAAAATAATTGCTACTAGCTGAAAATTATCTAGAATTTGTAAGTGAGACAGTTGTGATATATTGTACATGTATTCAAGTTTAGAGATGAAGTTCATAGCAGACAATTTACAATTCAATCGGACTGTGATGCAGCCAAATGTATCAGTTCGTCACAATAAAACATTCTGGTGTGTATATTCTGTCCAGAAAACCCTTCTGTCAATACTCCCGTAGTATGACCATTTGTGTAACTAATCTTAATATATACTAGTTTGTCATGTCATTAACCGATTGTTTAGACCCACTGTCTGACTGTTAGTCACCATGGCTATGACTGTTCTCACTTGAGCTGTCTCATATTAGCTTGTGTATAAAAGTAATAAATCTGAACATGTATACAGTAGACGTTTCTTTGTAATGGGAACTATACAGTTTTTGACTCCAGTGTGCAAAGCACAAAAAGGGAGTTTGTTATATTTCAGTTATATCTCAAGAAGCATTAAAACGATTTTTATATAACTTGGTAAGAATGTTACTAATGATTGGCTGCTGCAATTCATTGTTTTATTTTACATTTTATTTAAAATTTAGCATTTTTTATGTATTTTTTTATTATTTTTTTTTAATTTTTTTTCTGCCCAATTGCATGAATACAATTAATAGGAATCGATGAGTGGACTAATTTGCATAATGATGCGCATGCGTATTCTATTTTTTATGACTAGCAAGTTATGATGGTGTCAGCCATTTTGTTATTTCCAGTGTGTTGTACAAAAACGAAGCAAACGCCCGGGAGATGAAATGTATCAGTTTATATTATGAAAAGTTCTAAGAAATTACATGTATGATTTTTTATTATCGTATAAATAAATAAGTAATTAATTGAACAAATGTATAACTTCAATGACTGTGAAATGAATTACTGTGCAAGCTAGTTTACATTCACGTGTGGTGTACAATTACATTCAAGCCACAATACTTTGAACCCTGTGTGGGCTCAGAAAAGAAAATAATGAATGTGAGATTCATCATCGTCAAAACCATGGCAGTGTTGAAGATGTGAAGCAGGCCCATTTATACCCCCTCCCAATCACCAATCACCAAGATTTAAAGAGGGAAA